ATTCTAGGAGGCTGTGTACGGGACATCATACTTTAGAAGAGACGTTTAGATTTATCCTATAGCTCTCCATCTGTGTCTATATTACGCCTTACTAGTAAGCTCCCGCCACTTGAAGAGAACCCTTAGCCGCTTTCTAAGTGTACGATCCGTGGGCGGATTAGTAAGTTAAAAATTCAAAAAATGAGCCATAAACTTACCACACAGGGTAGGCGGGGAGATGTGTGTGTGTGTGTGTGTGATCCAGGAGCGGGTGTGTGAGATCCAGGAGCGGGTGTGTGCGCGCGTGTCCACGGTCCCTCTCGGGGTCCGCTGTCCCGCCCGGCCCCTCCCGCGCTCGGAGCCCGCCCACGAGGCCTCTCCCCGCCCCGCCCAGGTCTCGGAGCTCCGGCAGCAGCTGCGCCTGCGGGGCCTCCCGGTGTCGGGGACCAAGTCGACGCTCCTGGAGCGCATGCGCGGAGGCGCCCCATCCCGCGAGCGGCCGAAGTCGCGGCGCGAGGAAGGTCCCGCGGGCGCGCCCTGGCCACGCCTCAGGCCCAAGGCCCTCGCAGCCGCCCGACGTCACGGCTCGGTGAGGGCGGGGCTATGCGCGAGTGGGCCAATGAGGAGAAGACGCAGCGGGCCGGGCGGGAGGTGGAGAAGGGAATTGCCGGGGAAGCGCGGGGCGTGGTTAAGAGGAAATGGGGGGGAAGAGAAGCCAATGAGAATAAGGGGCGTGGCCAGGGTCTGGAGGGAAAGGCCGGGCCAGGGCCAGGGGGTGGAGCCTCAGGTTAGGAGTGGGCGGGGTCGCGAGAGTGGGCGTGGCTTATAGGACCATCCTCTGGGTTCTAGTCCAAGCCCCGCCCAGCATCTCCCCCGCCGCCGCCTCTTTCTCGTGCCGTGGGAACCCACGTGCCCGCTCCCGCTCCGGCTCCGGCTCCGGCTCCGGCTCCGGCTCCGGCTGCAGAACCGACCCCTTCCTCAGCTCCAGCCGCAGCACCAGCCGCAGCAGCCCCGACTCTGGAGCAGGAGCTGCAGGAAGCGATTCGGAGGGCGCAGGTGAGAGGCAGTGGGCAGGTGGTCTCCTGTCGGGATTAGGGCCAGAGTCCCAGGTTCACTCCGCTTCTGCCTGTCCGTCCGCAGTTGCTTCCGAACCGGGGCATCGATGACATCCTGGAGGGTCAGGACGAGCCTGCTGGTAAAAGCCGAACTCCTAGATTTTGGGGCAAAGGGGGCTGAGGTTCTGGACTCCTGGGAACTGGGAAACCCCTAGGGAACTGGGGGCCGGACCCCGCCTTCCTAAACTCACCCTCCATTTCTTCCCCCGCAGACCTGCTGCCCCCTATCCCCTTGGACTTCCCTGGCTCCTTCGACGTGCTGTCCCCTTCCCCAGACTCTGAAGGCCTCTCCTCTGTCTTCTCTTCCTCGCTCCCGTCCCCCACAAACTCCCCATCCGCCTCTCCCAGGGGCCCCACGGACTCCTTGGACTGGCTGGAAGCTCTGAGCGGGGGTCCTCCGCTGGGCTGCGGCCCCCCGGCCCCCAGCATCTTCTCTGCTGATTTATCGGACTCCGGTGGCCCGCGGCTGTGGGACCTGCTGGAGGGTCCATGGTGATGGATTCTAGGGTTTCAAGGGACGGAGAACCGGTAGGGACGGGGAGTCACAGAGACAGACTCCCTGAGGGAGGGGTTGGAACAACTGGGAGAGCCCCCTCCCACCACAGACCCAGAATCAGAAGCAACTCTCATCTCACCTGGGCCCCTAAACTGCTGCTGGACACGCCAACCACCTGACTGTTCCTGCCTGACCTCCTAGGCTCGCCTCCAGGGCTGTGTGCTGGGGGCGGGAGCCTCATTTGCTGCTGGCCGGGCAAACAAGCTGCTTGCTGCTTCCCGCACAGACCTCTCCGATGTCTTCTTATCCCGCCAACTGCGTGGCTACCTGTGGCTGGGGCCCTGGAGGGTGCTCTATGCTCTTGGGGTGCAGAGAGGGGGAGGGAGAATCAGGAACTAGACCCTTGGCTTCTGGTTGGAGATGAGAACATCAGAAACGGCGTGTCCCAGGTCAGATTCTGAGCAGAGCCTGAGGCAACACTCCTGGGTCCATGATTTCTTAAAGAGGTGCTCCCAGGAGAAACCAAAAAGGAATGGGTGAGACAGGACAGCCAGGGGGAGACCAACTGGAGGGTGACGTCAGGTGAAGTCCCCATCTCAGCCCAATCCCGGAGGATGAATTAAGTTGCAGGGCCAGGCCCTGCTGGTGGGGCTCAGTGGTTGAGTGTTGACCCAGGAACCAAAAGGTCACCGGTTCGATTCCCGGTCGGGCCCGGTTTGCGGGCTCCCTCCCCAGTAGGGGTGCATACAGGAGGCAGCTGATTGATGAAGTTTCTCTCTCATCGATTTTTCTACCTCTCTCCCTTCCTCTCTCTTTAAAAATCAATAAAACCATATTTTTATTTTATTTTTATTTTTAAAATATTTTTATTGATTTTTACAGAGAGAAAGGGGGAGGGATAGAGAGTCAGAAACATCAATGAAAGAGAAACATCGGTCAGCTGCCTCCTGCACACTTCTCCACTGGGTATGTGCCCGCAACCAAGGTACATGCCCTTGACCGG